CTTGGTCCAGATCTGAGTTCAAATCCTGGATATCCTTGTTAATTTTCTGTCTCATTGATCTGTCTAATATTGACAGTGGAGTGTTACAGTCTCCCACTATTATTGTGTGGGAGTCTAAGTCTCTTAGTAGGTCATTAAGAACTTGCTTTATGTATCCGGGTGCTCCTGTATTGGGTGCATATATATTTAGGATCATTAGCTCTTCTTGTTGCATGGATCCTTTTACCTTTACGTAATGCCCTTCTTTGTCTCTTTTGATCTTTGTTGGTTTAAAGACCATTTTATCAGAGACTAGGATTGCAACTTCTGCTTTGTTTTGGTCTCCATTTGCTTGGTAAATCTTTCTCCATCCCTTTATTTTGAGCCTATGTGTGTCCTCCAATGGGTCTTGACTTTTTATCCAATTCACCAGTCTGTGTCTTTTGATTGGGGCATTTAGCCCATTTACATTTAAGGTTAATATTGTTACATGTGAATTTGATCCTGTCATTTTGATGCTAGCTGGTTGTTTTGCCCCTTAGTTGACACGGTTTCTTCACTGTTTCCATGGTCTTTACCATTTGGTATGTTTTTGGAATGGCTGGTACTGGTTGTTACTTTCCATGTTTAGTGCTTCTTTCAGGAGCTCTTGTAAGGCAGGCCTGATGGTGACAAAATCTCTGAGCAATTGCTTGTCTGTAAAGGATTTTATTTCTCCTTTGCTTATGAAGCTTACTTTGTTTGGATATGAAATTCTAGGTTGAGTTATTTTCTTTAAGGATGTTAAATATTGGCCCCCCACTCTCTTCTGGCTTGTAGGGTTTCTGCCAAGAGATCTGCTGTGAGTCTGATGGGCTTCCCTTTGTGAGTAGCCCGACCTTTCTCTCTGGCTGCCCTTAGCAATTTTTTCTTCATTTCAACCCTGGTGAATCTGACGATTATGTGCCTTGGGGTTGCCCTTCTTGAGGAATATCTTTGTGTTGTTCTCTGTATTTCCTGGACTTGAATGTTGGTCTGCCTTGCTAGGTAGGGGAAGTTCTCCTGGATAATATCCTGAAGAGTGTTTTCCAGGTTGGATTCATTCTCTCTGTCACATTCAGGTACAACTATCAAATGTAGATTAGGTCTTTTCATATAATCCCATATTTCTTGGAGGCTTTGTTCATTTCTTTCACTCTTTTTTTTCTCTAATCTTGCCTTCTTGTTTTATTTTATTGAGTTGATCTTCAATCTCTGATATCCTTTCTTCTGCTTGGTAGATTTGGCTATTGAAACTTGTGTATGCTTCGCAAAGTTCTCATGCTGTGTTTTTCAGCTTCATCAAGTCATTTATATTCTTCTCTAAACTGTTTATTCTAGTTAGCATTTTGTCTAACCTTCTTTCAAGGTTTTTAGTTTCTTTGCATTGGGTTAGCACATGTTCTTTGAGCTCAGAGAAGCTTGTTATTACCCACTTTCTGAAGCCTGTTTCTGTCAATTCATCAGACTCATTCTCCATCCAACTTTGTTCCATCGCTGGTGAGGAGTTATGATCCCTTGGAGGAGGACTGGTTTTTGGTATTTTCATTCTTTTTGTGCTGGTTTCTTCCCATCTTTGTGGATTTATCTACCTGTGGTCTTTGTAGTTGGTGACTTTCAGCTGGGGTCTCTGAGTGAACATCCTTTTTGTTGATGTTGAAGGTATTTCTTTCTGTTTTTTAGTTTTCCTTCTAACAGTCAGGCCCCTCTGCTGCAGGACTGCTGGAGGTCCACTCCAGATTCTGCTTGCCCAGGGATCACCCACAGGGGCTGCAGAACAGTAAGAGTTGCTGCTTATTTCTTCTTCTGTTATCTTTGTCCGAGAAGGGTACCTGCCAGATGTCAGCCTGAGCTCTCCTTTATGAGGTGTCTCTTTGGATATACAGGAGTTGGGGAGCTGCTTGAGGAGACAGTCTGTCCCTTGTAGGAGCTCAAGTGCTGTGCTGGGGGCTCCGTTGTTCCGTTCAGAGCTGCTGGGGCAGGTATGTTTAAGTGTGTTGCAGCAGAACTCATAAACGCCTCTTTTCCCAGGTGCTCTGTCCTGGGAAGGTGGGGCTTTATTTATAAGTTCCTGACGTGCTGCTGCATTTTTTCAGAGATGTCCTGCCCAGCAAGGAGGTAGTCTAGTCACAGTCTGCCAACAGAGGAGTTGCTGGGCTGCCGTGGGCCCTGCCCAGCTGCTGTGTGAACTTCCTTGTGGTTTTGTTTACAGAGGTGTAGTTTGAACAGCCTCAGTAATGGTGGACTGCCTTGATAATGGCGGACTGCCTTGGTAATGGTGGACTGCCTCAGTAGTGGTGGACTGCCTTGGTAATGGTGGGTGCCCTTCCCCCCACCAAACTGGACCATCTAGGTTCAGCTGAGCTTGCTGTGAAACTCTCAATCCAGAACGTTTCAGATTGCTGGTCTTTGTGGGGGTGGAACCCACCAAGCCAGATCACCTGGCTCCCTGTTTCAGCCCCCTCTTTTTTAGTTGAATGGGTGGCTCTGTGTCCCAGGCATTTCAGGTGCCACTTGAAATGGCCACCCAGATTTGTGTGAGTTTTTGTGTGATAACCTGTGAGGCCAGCTGAAACAGCTACGCTGGAAAGTCGTGGCACTTTTCAGCCTGGGAATATCCTGATCTGTGGGCAGGAAAACTCATTTGGAAATGTGGGATCACTCACCCTCTGTGTTGTTCTCACTGGCAACTGCACTCCAGAGCTGTTCCTATTTGGCCATCTTGGATCTCTCTCCTGCTTTTCCCTTTCTTTACTGTGTGTGTGTATATGTGCATATATACACACACACAGAGTAAAGAAACTTTGTGTGTATACATATACTGTGTGTACATATATACTCTCTCTATATACAAACTGTATATATACTACATATACATATACTGTATGACTGTAGAGATACACACTGTATATATACTTTATATACATGTATATTTGTGTATACATATATACAGATGTACAGATATATACACATGTATATATACATATATGTATACATAGATATACATATATGTATACGTAGATATACATATATGTATTCACATATATACCACATATAGTATATATGGTATATCTGTATATATACTATATAATATAGTATAGTATATGGTATATCTGTGTATATGACCTCAAAAGATCCACCTACCTTGGCTTCCCAAAGTTCTGGGATTAAAGGGGTGAGCCACTGTGCCTGCCTTTTTAAAAAATTATTTTCAGTAGAGACAAGGCTGTGTCTCTGTGTTACCCAGGCTGGCCCCTTCTCTTCAATCACATTCTCTATGGTGCCACAGGCAGTCTCAGTAGGATAATATTCCAGTTGCTCAGAGTAGTGACCTGTTCTGGATCACACCCTCGGATTGGCTTTTCTGCTTCCCAGTTTCACTTTTTCCATTGTTCCCCTTCTGTTCCTTGTGATTGCTTTCCACTACAAACTACCTGCATCCTGTTCTTGTCTCAGGCTCTACTTACTGGAGGAACCAAGCCTAAGACAGATTCCTGTGTAAAATGTGACATAATGACCCAGGAGGCCTGGGTTCCAGATCAACTCTGTTACTAACGTGATTTGTAAAAATCACTTTACTGAAAAGGTGGGCATTTTCATCATCATTTTCAGGTGGCACTATGGGAGAAGATCTTCAATCATTTGTTAACTGAGGGAAGAAAAGCAAGAAAAATGCCTGTCACGCACATAAAAAGAGCATGTGTGTGTGCACACATGTTACTAAATGCATACAAAATGGTGGACCATCATGGTTTACTACATATTTTTGTATAGCTTGAATTGTTTACAATAAGAATGTATATTAATTAGCTTTGTTTAGACCTCCAGGAAAAAAAGAAGACTGCATCTTGTGTAATTAAAAAAAGAATGTCCACCTACAAGGAAGTGGAATGATGCTTGTTAAAGAGCAGAGCAGAAGGCATAGCGGGCCACCAATCAAGGTAAGAAAGCCGAGCTGTGCCCTCGTAAGCGCTCTAGAAGGCAGCGGAGCTGACAGCGAGACCAGGCGGCGCAAGAAACCGCGAACCGAGGAAGGGCGGCTGGGTCTTTTTGGTCGCCAGGGGGCAGAAGTATAGGGCAACCTAAATCTGCAACTAACCCGCGGTTGCCCAGGCTCCAACGCCAGGCCGAACATTTCAAAAGTCATAAGTTCCATCTCTCTGCCGCAGCCGACAGATTGGAGGATTTTCAGAGTCAAGAGGATGCCCCCCCGCCCCCGCGCCCGAGAGAAGCTTGGCACTCCGAGCAGTCTCAACCGCTTTCCCCTCTGCTCTTCTCTTCCCTACCCCCCAACACCCACGGAGGGGAAATTGAGTCACTGGGAGGAGAGGCCAGAGTCATCAGGGGAATGAGGGCCGACGCCAGCCCTCAGGGCCTTCCAGATGCTAGGAGGAGGGTTCTCCAGGAAAACAAAGGGGGGTGAGGGGGGAGGCGGTTGGCTGGGCAGGAGCTGAGCCAGACACATGGAGAAACGCTGCCCAGGATCAAAGGAAATATGACATTTGAAAAGAATGTGCGCGTCTGCATGTGCTGTGCCGGCGGGGAGGGGGGCCGGGGAGGGGCAGAGTCTGGGGAACAGGGGCTGGGCCTCGGGGTCTCTACCCTTGCCTCTCTCGCCTCTGCCTCCCACCTCCCCTGCCCTGTTCGGTGCAGGCAGGTTGATGGGTCGAGGTGTTCTTCTTCCTTCCCGTGTGGTTCTCATTCCTTTATTTCCGAGATGAAGCTGGAAGGGAAATGTAACCTGAGGAGACCAACCAAAGAGGGGGAAAAAAAAAGAAGAAAGAAAAAATCAAACTAGGCCGCCTCCCCGCTTGGCCTCAGAACATTCTTCTCTCCCCGCCGGCCTGGCCTCTTCTCCCCGCCCCTCCTGTGTTGCGGCCCTGGGCTGGGAGCCGGGGCAGCTCCGCACGTCACTGGGGTCCCCCGAGGCTGGGGGGGTCCCCTGGGCGGGTCCGAGGGAGGACCGGGGGGAGGGATGCTGCGGAGCTCGGGCCCGTCGGGCCAGCACTCCCTTCTTTCCCCAGTCCCGCAGAGCCTGTTTCTCATTAGAGTAACGGGCGCGGTCCCGCCCGGCTTCTGAGTGTTTGTAAACGTCTGACCCTGGGCCGTCGCTTAACCCTTCAGGTGCTGGGATGGGGCGGCATTGGGGGTACAGCCCTGAACCCCAGGGATTTAGAGATTGGAGACGCTGCGGCCTCTTAGAGAGCTTTGAAGCTGTGTGGGAGGAAATGATAACCACCCCCCAATCTCTCCTACCCTCCAGCCTTGCCAGTATCTCCCACCGAGTCGCGAATCTCCCCTCTAATTCCCTCTCACACAACCCAGGCCTCTCCAAGCCTGATTTTCCCGAAAACTCCTGTCCGGGTCTTTCTTCCTCCTCCAACCCAGGTGACAGGTGTCCAGCCTGGGGGAGATGGGAGAAGGCGGGGGGAGTGGGGGGCGGTACAGGGTCTCGAGGTTCCAGGCCCCTAATAAACCTGGCCAGGAGTTTTAGAAGAGCCGAGTGGGATGCTATCGGGTCAGAGATTCCTTCCAGACTACAGTTCTAGGGAGGAGGGAGCCAACTTCCCGTGGAGGCTAATTAATGGCCCCTCTGGGTGGCTGGGACAAGGGCAGCGGCAAAGCCTGGCCTGGATCTACGCCCATCAAGGACTCTGGGCCTAGGGACAGTTCTCAAAGCCTTTTTGGCTCAGACTGCTCCCAGAGGGCATCCAGGCTGGCTAAGCGTTCTTCACTTTACGGGTCCGGGAGGAATGGCTGATGGAGGCGCTGATTCGGCAGGGCAAAGACTTCCAGAAGGCCCAGGCAGAGCAGTTCCAGGCAGGGGACCTGGAAGAATAGCCTTTTCCTCTTCCGAGCAGCCCGGTGCCACTCTGCACCCAAGGACCCACCTGGCCTCAGGCTTGGAGGGAAAGGGGAGGAGAAATCGTTCCGTCTTGCTGGGTGCTGTCTACACAGTCTTCAGAATTTAAAAATGGGTATTCCATGGACTCTATACCCTGAGGGCCCAGGATGTGGCCCCTTTAAGGCTCTCGGACCCAGAACCGAGAACTGAGACTAAGGGAGGTGGGGGCTGGGCTCCCTGCGGAAAATGATTGTCACAAGGGCGGACCAATAGGCAACATTAGTATCACTCTGGAAGGACCGTTTTTCAATTCAGTTTTTTTTTTTTTTTTTTTTTTGAGGGGGAGGGACTGAAGAGAGGACAGAGGGAGGGAGGGTGGGGGAGGACGAGGGGCGCGTGGTTTTCCCATCTCATCCCTGGAGGAGGGGCTGGAGCATCCCCGGCAGCCAATCAGGGACAGGCTAGAGGCCCCGCTTTGAAGAAGTTTGGGGGAAAAAGTTTGGAAAAGTTTCTATAATAACGAGGGGGCGTCTGGAGGGAGGCGGCAGCGACGGAGGAGGGGGCTTCTCACAGAAAGGGAGGGAGGGAGCCACCGTGGTGAAGATACAGCAGCCTCCTGAGCTCCCCCCTCCCACCCAGGCCGGGACCTGGGGGCTCCTGCCGGATCCATGGGGGCGGCCAGCTGCGAGGATGAGGAGCTGGAATTTAAGCTGGTGTTCGGGGAGGAAAAGGAGGCCCCCCCGCTGGGCGCGGGGGGGTTGGGGGAAGGTTAGTGCGGGGCTGGGAAGCGGTCTCGGGGTCAATGAGAGGAGGGCCGGGGATCCTGGTCTGGGGGATTTAAGGCAGCGAGCCTAGGGTCGGGGGTGAGGGAGTCAGAGGTCGAAGGGAGTCGCGGGGGCTCCCTGGCCTGCGGAAGTGAGGCTGGGGGCCGGGGCACCACTTTCTCCTTTTTAGGTCGTAACTGGGATGGGGGTGGGGGTGCCGTTGGCTGTGCGCCGCCTCCCGGCTGGGCCGCCTGTCACTGAACTGGGGGGCAGGCGGGAACGTCGGCCCCAAGAGCACCGGGCGCCGCCAGGGGAAGGGGAGGTTCGGCGCTGGAGCCGGCCCCTCTCGGACCAAGCACTGCGAGGCCGACTGGACACCAGGGGCTGGGGGTGCTGTCAGGCCTCGCCGGGGATCCCCTCCCCCTCCCTTGTCTGGCCGCAATGAGAGGCAGATGGCGGGGACTGAGTCGGGGGCGGCGGCTGCAGCTCGCACGAATCCGCGCTGCCCGCCGTCCCCCTTCCCTCGGCTGGGCCGGGCACACATCACCCCCTCGGCTGTACCTCCGCCCCTAGATGGCGGGGAGCGAGGGAGGAGCCGCTTCCCCTAATCACCACAGCCCTGACGCCCCCTTCCCCTCTGGCCACGGTTGCGATGGCAACTGGGGCTCCTGCCAGCGCCGTTTGGGGGTTTGGGAACCGCTGCTAATTGGGTTCATGTGTGAGTCGCCCCTAGTCCAGCACAGTGCCTCAAGAAACACGCCTCCAGGCCCAGGCCCAGCTCCAGCTCCTCTGGACCCACCTTCCTCACCTTAAGACCCGCTGGATCGGGTACCCTCGGTCTCAGGATCCAAGAGCCAGTGGGCAAAGGCCTGGCATGCCTGCCTCAATCTCTTCCATCTTCCTAGGTCCAACTCTGCTTTTGCCTTTGTGGCTCAGAAGGTCTCCTTGCTGAGGAGTGGCCTGGCCACTCAAGGAGCCTAGCCATCTCACCTGCTTCTTTCTCTCCCCCTCTCCCTCTGCTCCCCTTCCCATTTTGACAGAACTGGACTCAGAGGATGCCCCGCCATGCTGCCGTCTGGCCTTGGGAGAGCCCCCTCCCTATGGCGCTGCGCCAATCGGTATTCCCCGTTCTCCACCCCCTCGGCCTGGCATGCATTCGCCACCGCCGCGCCCAGCCCCCTCACCTGGCACCTGGGAGAGCCAGCCCGCCCGCTCGGTGAGGCTGGGAGGACCAGGAGGGGGTACTGGGGGTGCTGGGGGTGGCCGTGTTCTCGAGTGTCCCAGCATCCGCATCACCTCCATCTCTCCCACGCCCGAGCCGCCGGCAGCGCTGGAGGACAACCCTGATGCCTGGGGGGACGGCTCTCCTAGAGATTACCCCTCACCAGAAGGCTTTGGGGGCTACCGAGAGGCAGGGGGCCAGGGTGGGGGGGCCTTCTTCAGCCCGAGCCCTGGCAGCAGCAGCCTGTCCTCCTGGAGCTTCTTCTCCGATGCCTCTGATGAGGCCGCCCTGTACGCAGCCTGTGACGAAGTGGAGTCTGAGCTAAATGAGGCGGCCTCCCGCTTTGGCTTGGGCTCCCCACTGCCCTCGCCCCGGGCCTCCCCTCGGCCATGGACCCCTGAAGATCCCTGGAGTCTGTATGGTCCAAGCCCCGGAGGCCGAGGGCCAGAGGATAGCTGGCTACTCCTCAGTGCTCCTGGGCCCACCCCAGCCTCTCCTCGGCCTGCTTCTCCATGTGGCAAGCGGCGCTATTCCAGTTCGGGAACCCCATCTTCGGCCTCCCCAGCTCTGTCCCGCCGTGGCAGCCTGGGAGAAGAGGGATCTGAGCCACCTCCACCACCCCCATTGCCTCTGGCCCATGACCCTGGCTCCCCTGGTCCCTTTGACTATGTGGGGGCCCCACCAGCTGAGAGCATCCCTCAGAAGACACGGCGAACTTCCAGTGAGCAGACGGTGGCTCTGCCTCGGTCTGAGGAGCCTGCTCCATGCAATGGGAAGCTGCCCTTGGGAGCAGAGGAGTCTGTGGCTCTTCCCGGAGGTCCCCGGAAGGAGGTGGCTGGCATGGACTACCTGGCAGTGCCCTCCCCACTCGCGTGGTCCAAGGCTCGGATTGGGGGACACAGCCCTATCTTCAGGTGAGGGTTGCACCTGGCACCACCTCTCTCTCCAGCATTCCACTAGGGGAGCAGGAGGGTCAAAGGATGGATTTGAAGATACTAGTTTCATGCCCTCCGAATTTCAAAAGAGAATCTGCCACCAGCTCAGCAGCTGCCAACTACCTGCTTTTAAAGAGAATTAGAAACCCCTTTGGATGATTTACAAAAGGGCAACAGTTCCCTGAGGGCAAATTAGAAAAAGCCCCTCCACCCACTGAACCCCAGGTATTGTAGGAGGATCAACTAGGTTAAGGAGTTCCTGTAGCTTATAGAGTGCTCCCAAGCCCAGGCTCAGCGTGGTATATGACTGAGTGTGGAACTTGGGCTGGATTTCAGCCTTCCACTCTGGCCTTTTCAATAGGTGCCAGCCCTAAACAGATTTCCACTCTGTTGCACGAAATTTCCCTTCTCCAATCCTTAATTTCTAGAACCTGACCTAGTGGTTTAAAAGTATAGTTGCTGGCCGGGCGTGGTGGCTCAAGCCTGTAATCCCAGCACTTTGGGAGGCCGAGGCAGGTGGATCACGAGGTCAAGAGATCGAGACCATCCTGGTCAACATGGTGAAACCCCGTCTCTACTAAAGATACAAAAAATTAGCTGGGCATGGTGGCGCGTGCCTGTAATCCCAGCTACTCAGGAGGCTGAGGCAGGAGAATTGCCTGAACCCAGGAGGCGGAGGTTGCAGTGAGCCGAGATCGTGCCATTGCACTCCAGCCTGAGTAACAAGAGTGAAACTCCATCTCAAAAAAAATAAAAAATAAAAGTATAGTTGCTAACTTGAATAAAATAGCATATTTTTGCAAGTCAAAATTTGGCAATTACCTGGGGGACAGCTACCAGTTGAGATCCTGAGATCCATTGTCCTAGGGTATCAGGGAGCACAATACAGGATAAGTTGTCTCATCTGAAACCCTTAGCTCCCTGGAACTCCATCTATCAAGCCCCAACTACTGGAAAGGGAGCTGGCTTGGGAGCAGAATGTGCTGTCACAGGTCTGTCAGTGGCTGCTGGCTTCAGTTTGTTTGTTTGTTTATGAGACAGCATCTTGCTCTGTCACCCAGACTGGAGTGCAGTGGTGTGATCTCACTCCGCCTCAACCTCCTGGGCTCAAGCTATCCTCCTGCCTCAGCCCACTGAGTAGCTGGAACTACAGGAGCATCAACACGCCCAGCTAATTTTTGTACTTTTTGTAGAGATGTGGTTTCACCATGTTGCCCAGGCTGGTCTCAAACTCCTGGGCTCAAGCGATTCTCACACCTCCCCCAACACCCACTTTAGCCTCCCAAGGTGCTGGGATTACAGGTGTGAGCCACCATGCCTCAATTTTTTTATTTGTTAAACAAAGGGTTCATTCATATCTGAGGTCTTTTGCTGTCTGAAGTGGCACTTCTTTATCCTTTCTATCCAGGTCTAGGGATTAGGGCTTGAGAATCCTGTAGCCACGTGAAGCCTTCTCACCCCAATCCCTGTGCTCAGAGCTGGGAAGAAGAGAGTTTTAGGCCTGTTGTCATCTTCCACACCTCAAGGGGCTGTGTCCCCTTTGCTTCTGGACTTTTGGATTTCTTCGGTTATCTTTTTTTAGTTAAAAAAAATTCTTTTTTCCCCTTATTTTTACACATGTTGATGTACTTTTTTATTTCCTCTGTGCTTTCCTTTCTCTCAGACCCATACCCCCTCCTCCCTCCCAGATTCAGTGTGGTCCTGACTGGGGCAGAGGCTGCACCTGATCAATACTCTTCTTTCTCTCCCAGGACCTCTGCCCTACCACCCCTGGACTGGCCTCTGCCCAGCCAATATGAGCAGCTGGAGCTGAGGATTGAGGTGCAGCCTAGAGCCCACCACCGGGCCCACTATGAGACAGAAGGCAGCCGTGGAGCTGTCAAAGCTGCCCCTGGCGGTCACCCCATAGTCAAGGTGAGGACAGAGGGCAGGCCTGCTATCCTTTCTCCTCTCCCAGATGGGTTCCAGCTATGCAGACCCATGGCACTGCCCTTTCCCACACTCCCTCTCAGCTCTGACCCTGCAGGCAGCCTGGGGGAGGGGCTGGAGTTGGGGGAGGAGGGGTGCAAGGACCCGGATATGCTTTCTACTCCTCTGTCCTTCCACCCCCATTCAGCTCATCCCATGGGACACCAGCCTCATGTCTACTCTGGAAAATGGTGGCCTGCCGGATATGGGGGAGGGTTTAGGCTGAGGCCAAAAGTCACTGGGAGTTAAGTTTTCTCTGTATTGAGTTGGGCCAGTCTCTTTGGAGGCTCTTCTGCCTTTGCCCAGCCCACTTTGGGCTTTCTTCCAAGAAAAACACTGTGAACTCCAGGCTGTGTTTTCTCCACAACGAGTGCCCAGTTCCCCCAGGGATTCCCTTGCAGGATATCCTTTATCTTTCACCATTCCCATCCCATGGTGGACTGAAAGCCCAGGGATGAATAAAGGATGAGATGGTGGGGATTTCAATGAGGTGGTCCCTCTCTCCCTCTGCCAGCTCCTAGGCTACAGTGAGAAGCCACTGACCCTACAGATGTTCATCGGCACTGCAGATGAAAGGAACCTGCGGCCTCATGCCTTCTATCAGGTGCACCGTATCACGGGCAAGATGGTGGCCACGGCCAGCTATGAAGCCGTAGTCAGTGGCACCAAGGTGCTGGAGATGACTTTGCTGCCTGAGAACAACATGGCGGCCAAGTAAGTCCCCATGCAACTTCCCCTCAGTCTGCAGGCTTTAGACTAGCTCTCTCCATTGGGCCTATACTAGCCCATTTCTTCCTTTATCCAGAAGAGCTAGACATCATTCCTAGGAGCCGGCTTCAGGCCCACCCACCATCTGGAAGAGGACTTTTGGGGATGGGGGGTACCGTGGAGAGGCCATCTCTAGGTTAGAAAGTAGCCTCCTAGGCATACATCGGAAGTCATTCAGGGCTTTGGATGGAGGGGGGCCGCTTCCCTCTTTAGGGATGTATCACCATTCTGGCTTCAGCTAGGAGGGCTTGCCATCCATCCTTTGCCTTCAGCATTGACTGTGCGGGAATCCTGAAGCTTCGGAATTCAGACATTGAGCTTCGGAAGGGTGAGACGGACATCGGGCGCAAAAATACACGTGTGCGGCTGGTGTTCCGGGTACATGTGCCCCAGGGCGGCGGGAAGGTCATCTCAGTACAGGCAGCATCGGTGCCCATCGAGTGCTGTGAGCAAAGAGGCCCTGGGCCTTCTCTCTGTCTCTTGCAACTCTTATTGTCTCTTCGTGTGTCTCTGCCCATTCCCCCTGCAGCATCCTGTGCCCTGTCTGCCCTGGGTAGCTCCATAAAGGACTCAGCCTTTATTTCTATTCTAGTTTGCCCCTGCCACAGACTGTCTCTGGGGTGGCCCACAGTGACCCTGGACCCTATCTGTTCCTGGGGTGCCCGGTGCCCTTGTTTGGGAAACTCCCTGGTCTACCCTGTTTAACCCTCTCTCTACTCTGGGAGTGGCCCCTTACAGGGTCTGTGTGACCCCATGGATACTACTGGTTTATTTGTGTCTACTGCTGAGGAGGGCTCCCTCAGAACCTTGTGGCAGTTATTCCAGAAAGGGTGGGGACAGAGGAGGCTGCCCCTCCATGCCCAACCCAGCCAGTCCTCTTCCTTGCACTGCTCTGCAGCCCAGCGCTCAGCTCAGGAGCTGCCCCAGGTGGAGGCCTACAGCCCCAGTGCCTGCTCTGTGAGAGGAGGCGAGGAACTAGTACTGACTGGCTCCAACTTCCTGCCAGACTCCAAGGTGGTGTTCATTGAGAGGGGTCCTGGTGAGTACCCACTGGGGAGGAGAGGGCAGGCAGGGAGAGCCTGAGACCAGCAGGTGAAATATCTCTGGCATTGTCACTAAACTAGCCAGTGGAGCCTAGGATTTTTTATTTGTAAAATGGGACACAGACTACCCTTCCTATTACACTATCTGCTTTCCATGTGGGATGAGTATGACAGCAATCTAAAATGCTGAGGATGTTACATTGAGGAACAAATGTAAGCGATGCACATTCTGTTTATTAAAGAGGAGTCTGCTTTGAGATAATTTACCCCCATGTAGCTAGGGCATATGAGAAGGCAAGAGGTGATTTACACCCTCACAGCTCCCCACTGGGTGGCTCGTTGAGTTATGGGCGGTGATTAACAGAGCCTATTAGGTGCCCTGAGATGGAGCTGCAGGCGTGGAGGAAGGAAGACTGAGGGTCCCAGCTGCGCACGCTGACCTGAGGCCTTTGCCCTTCCCAAACACTGCTCGCCAATAGGCTCAGCCCTATATCCTTTACTATTATTATTATTATTATTATTATTTGTAGTAGGGTCTCACTTTGTGACCCAGCGGAGTGCAGTGATGCAATCACAGCTCACTGCAGCCTCAACCTCCTGGGATCAAGCAATCCTCCCACCTCAGCCTCCTGAGTAGCTGGGACCACAGGCACAGGCAACCACACTTGGCTTATTTTTAAAATTATTTTTTGTAGAGTTAGGGTCTCCTCATGTTGCCCAGGCTGGTCTCAAACTCCTGGGCTCAAATGATCCTTCTACCTTGGCCTCCCAAGGTGGGAGTGGTGGGTGCTGGGATTATAGGCATGAGCCACTGCATTCCAGCCCCTACATCCAAATGCAGCATCCTAGGACCATGTCATAACTTCTCCAGAGCTTCTGGGTCATGAGAGTTGGGGGTCTCATTGCCTTCTGTCGAGCTAGGACCCTTTCCTACCTTTGGTCTTCCTTCTCAGCATTATCATGGGAGACAATGTTTGGAGTTGGGTGGAAATATTCAATAGTTGCTTCCATTACCAACTCGCTCTGGTTCCTGGGCTGGTCCTGCCATTTCCCTTGGTCTCAGTTTGCTTCCCTGTACCTTGAGGACAGTTTTAAACTCTACTTCTTCCACTCACATTAAGTTAACATGCAGTAGGCTCCTGCGTGTCAGACCATCTAGCGCTTCTGGATTTGGCCTTGGCTCTAGCAGGAGGGGAAATGGCAGAGAACTACAGCAGGGCAAGGGCGCTGGAGCTGGGCTGCAGCTCTCCCTTTCCTCCGCACAGATGGGAAGCTGCAATGGGAGGAGGAGGCCACGGTGAACAGACTGCAGAGCAATGAGGTAGGATACTTCCTGGGGGCGGGGTGGGAGAAGGCACAGGGGATTCTCAGCAGGGTCCTCTTGCTCATGGGAGTGGACTTTTCTGGAGGAGGTAGACTGGCCATTCTGTAAGCAGGTGCATCTCTAGGGAATGAACTTCGCATTTTAGCAAATGGAGAAAGCGAGGACCTGGAGTCCAGGCCCCTGGAAAGGCTGGGCTAAGCCTAGGTCACCGAGGGCTCCCTGCCTCATTTTTACTCTTCCTTAGGTGACGCTGACCCTGACTGTCCCCGAGTACAGCAACAAAAGGGTGTCCCGGCCAGTCCAGGTCTACTTTTATGTCTCCAATGGGCGGAGGAAACGCAGTCCTACCCAGAGTTTCAAGTTTTTGCCTGGTGCGCTCTGGAACAGCCCATGGTGGGAGGTAGAGGGATATGGGGAGCTGGAGCAGGGGCAGAGGCAAGCAGTGCCCATTGTGAGGGGCCAAGGGCTGAATGGAACCTGGGAGGAGCAGGCGGCTGGAAGGTGTGCAATGAGGAGACTGCCAGACCTCTCACCAGTGTGTCCTCCCACTTCCTGTCTTCCCAGTGATCTGCAAGGAGGAGCCCCTACCGGACTCATCTCTGCGGGGCTTCCCTCCAGCATCGGCACCCCCCTTTGGCACTGACATGGACTTCTCACCACCCAGGCCCCCCTACCCCTCCTATCCCCATGAAGACCCTGCTTATGAAACTCCTTACCTATCAGAAGGCTTCAGCTATGGCACACCCCCTCTGTACCCCCAGACGGGGCCCCCACCATCCTACAGACCGGGCCTGCGGATGTTCCCTGAGACTAGGGGTACCACAGGTTGTGCCCACCCACCACCAGTCTCCTTCCTTCCCCGCCCCTTCCCTAGTGACCCGTATGGTGGGCGGGGCTCCTCTTTTCCCCTGGGGCTGCCATTCTCTCCTCCAGCCCCCTTTCGGCCTCCTCTCCCTGCATCCCCACCGCTTGAAGGCCCCTTCCCTTCCCAGGGTGATGTGCATCCCCTACCTGCTGAGGGATACAATAAGGTAGGGCCAGGCTATGGCCCTGGGGAGGGGGCTCCGGAGCAGGAGAAATCCAGGGGTGGCTACGGCAGCGGCTTCAGAGACAGTGTCCCTATCCAGGGTATCACGCTGGAGGAAGGTGGGTGTGGGACTGGGGGCTGTGAGTGTGAGTGTGTGCAAGAGATTGCTCTGCATGTTTGCTGAGGGCTGGAGCTGGGCTTTTCAGAGATCAGGCATCCCTGGTCTCTCAGGGCCAGCTGGAGTGTCCCAGGAGGCATGTTTCTGATGCCTGTGGCTGCCTGAATCCAGTTAACTGAAGGGTGCATGGGGTAACTGTCTCAGCCTTTCTCCTGCCTCTGCCTCTGCCCTCTGCTCCAAATCAGAAAATCTCAGAGCTAGAAGCACTTTCAAGACCATTCTATCCAGCTCGCTCAATTTGCAAGTTCAGGCACTGAGTTCCAGAGAGGGATGGTAGCTTGCTGAGATCCGAGTCAAGCACACTTGCCACTGCCTCAGCGTTCCCCTAAACACTGTGCCTTTGGTCGGGGTTGGTGAGGAGGAGCTTTCCTGTTTTGCTTCTCCTTCCTCCCATTGGCTACACCCATCTCTGGCCCTGCTGATACCAATTCCCCTGACATTTTGGGCTAAGCCAGCAGGAAAGGGATAGGACGGGCACTTGGGAGCCCACATGGAGGGAGTTGGGGAAGATTTGATTCGGAGCAGGTGTCAAGACATGTTGGGGAAACTGAGGCCCAGTAGAAGAGAAACCAGTAAAGGAGGAACCTAGAGGCCTCCTAGATTAAGGCCTGCCTGGAATGGATGGGGGGGGGTCTTTGAAAAAGGAGGGGACCCACCTCTAGCCCAGTCTCTCAAGTGCCCCTCCTTTACAGTGAGTGAGATCATTGGCCGAGACCTGAGTGGCTTCCCTGCACCTCCTGGAGAAGAGCCTCCCGCCTGAACCACCTGAACTGTCATCACCTGGCAACCCCAGCCCCGGCCTCAGCCCTGCCGCCTTTCCCTCCTCCTTCCTGGAGTGGTGGCTACAGAAGCTTGGGGCCAACACTGGCTCCTCTTTCCCCAGCTTCTGCCTGTTTCGCTGTCTTCCCTCCCCTCCCCTCCCAAGCTGTGGTGTGGCCCCCAGACCTGGTGCTGCCTTGGAGGGCTGGGGGAAGGAGCCTGTGGAGGAGAGGAGGAGGCTGGAGACTGAGGCTAGGTGCCAGAATGGACTGGAGTGAAGGCGTGTCTAGAATGTGGGCAAACTGGTGCTGGGAAGCTGGGGACAGTTTGATGGTAATAAACTGCTCACTGATAAGTGCTTCAGGCTCCAGAACTCTTTGGAGAGAGGGGTAGAGGCAGCTTACTCCACTTCTGGGTGTCCTGGCCCAAAGACACCCAGAAGTTGGAAAGAGATGGAGTGTGGCTGAGAACCTTGCATCCCAAAGAGTTTCTCAGTGGAGTGGGGAAGGCGTGAGGGGGCTCAGAAGCTCCTTGACTGGGGCCAGGGTTGGGGGCTAGGGCTTGAGTAGACCTCTCCACTCGCCTCTCTGGGGGTCCAGATTCCTTAGGAGTTTTGGGATGGGGGCCAGAAGGCTGCATTTTTTTCAAGCTGCTTAGTCTTGCCACCACACAGATGATTCTGATTCATAGCAAGATGAGGACACACTGATGTAGTTGATCCCTCTTATTTACGAAGGAGGATTCTAAGGTTCAGAGGGGGAGCAGGACTTGCCTGATAGGACTTGCCTATCTTGTCACATAGATAATCAGCAGCACGTTGAATGCTGTGCTCCTGGGATCCTGTTCCTCAACCCCCATTCAGACACCCTGACTCAGGAGGCCCAGGCCTCTAAGGCTTCTCTCCCTGGAGTGAGGGTTGAGGTGAGGGAGAGCTGGCACAAGCCTGTTCACACTCTGGATCCTCCACTCCTGGGGATTATGAAGACCTTCTGGAAAGGTTTGCGCTTCAGAGGTAGACTGCAGAAAGTCTACCCAACAGCTCTGAACGCCACCTGCCCTGGGGCTCAGCGCACTGCCTGAATTCCTGGCCTATCCTGCAAATACACCCATGCTGGCCTTCTAAATAGCTGGTACATCCATCACCACTGACGGGCCTGGGCTGGAAACCTGGTTTGTCCTCTGTCTTGATGACCGATGAGAGGCCAAGTCCCCACTGGGCTGGGCAAAGTCAGACTTTGTCTGTCTTGTTCACCTGGAGCCTGGCACACAGTAGGTACTGAGTACAAATAGCTTGAATTGGCTAGGCTTGGCTGTAGGGGGACATGCCTAAAAGACACTCAGGGAATTTGCACTTGGGAAACATGCCTCACCTTGAGGCTGGTGGGGCCCCTCTATGCCCAGTGAGTCCAGACAGTCCTGGCAAGTACTCAGGAGAGCAGGGGTGGGTGTGACAGGCTGGCTCTTGATTGGAGGACAACAGAACCAGAGTGACTCCTCTCCTGTTGCTGCTTTGCAGTGAATTTCCTTTACCTTCCTGGAACACAAACTGCTGTGAACCAAACAGTCATCAAGTGATCAACTCACTGGGCCTTGGCTGCTTTTCAAAGATCCCCTTCAGCCCCCATGCCAGAGTCATTTGTGTCCTATTCAGCACCACCTCTAAGATCTCTGACAGGGTGGATCAGCCTCTGTGTAAACAAAAAGCTGTTAGGACTTGTTGCCTCTCAAGGTGGACTGTTCTGTTTTCTGCCAGGACACTACCATTCATGCATTGTCAGACATTTATTGAGCAGCTATAAAGTGCCAGCCAATGGGTCCTGGGGGAATTCATAGCCTCATGGGGCAAAAGTAACAAAACAGCTCATTACAAGTCAACAATTCAAACTCAGTATTTTTTGTACAGAGAGTATGTTAGACCTTGAGGAGTCAGTGAACAATGTGTGTGTGTGTGTGTGTGTGTGTGTGTGTGAGAGAGAGAGAGAGAGAGAGCGAGCGAGAGAGAGAGAAACAGAGGGAGATGGGGTCTTGCTCCCCATGGAATGTAGTGGCAGGATCAGAGCTCACTGCAGCCTCAAATTGCTGGGCTCAAACTATCCTCCCTATCAGCCTCCCAAAGTGCTGGGATTATAGGCATGAACCACAGTGCCTGCCTTCAGTGAACAACTTTTTTCTTCCCCTGTGTGCTCCTTCACCCACCACCCTCCTCCCAGGTAGTAGATTCCCCACCAAGCCACACCACCCCATGCCACTCCTCTCCACAGTGAACAATTTAAATACTATATGCAAAGGGAGCAGAAGAGAGGCATTCTGTCCAGCTGTGGGGATTAGAGGGAACTTGAGCAGGTGACTTCTAAACTGAGACCTGAAGAATGACTAGGAATTAACCAAGTTAAGAGTAGAGGAAGAGCAGGCCAGGAAGAATGACCAGGAGAGGCAAAGTCCTGGAGGGGAGCAGCAAGTAAGGAAGGCTGACAGATCTGGGGCCTGGTATGCCTAGAGAATGCAGAAAGGTTTGGCTTCGAGGGTTTTGTGGGGGATGTTCCCGTGTGAGACCCCCAAAAGGCATGGGTCTCACTATAAGGTGAGCTTGATCCCAAACACAGTTTCCTGCTGGAGGCAGTTGAGCTAGGGGGAAGAAGGAACTGAAAGATAGATGATCAGTTTCTAATATCAACCACGATATCCTTTGGGCCTAAACTATGCAATGCTGCTAGACCGAGTAACTCTCTACCAGCAATCAGTTTCTGCTTTAAACCTTTATGACTCTTTCTTTAAGAATAGGTTTAACCTTTTCTTTACTTGCATGACTGCCTTGTACCCTAGATAATGGTTTAACTCTGGGGATATTTGCAAAGGAAATGCCACTATAAGGATGGCTGTGATCCCAGACTCAGAGACTCCTGAACAGGGGGAGTTGAGATAAGTTGAGTCAGGAGCAGACAAAGGAGAATCTGGTTAAAAGATATTCTGATGAGCAAAACCAGAAAATCTTTTCACATGTGAGTCCTAAAACAGGATCAAACCAAAAATACCTGCAGCCATGAGGAATAATGTCTGGATGTAAATAAGCTTTGTGATCACAGGAAATTCTATTACTTTTTACAACCACTGATTGTGTATCTGACTTCTGTATTGTACAGGCCATGTAAGGTACAGATTTGCATTTCCTCTTGCAATGACGTAAACCAGAGCAAAGAAAGTGTATTTATTCCTGGCCTTTGAAAAATAAAATTTGCTGTTTTTAGGCACAGCCTATACAGCCCCCCAGACCCCCGCTTTCTGTCTTTCTTTCTTTTTTTTTTTTTTTTTTTGACACGAAGTTTTGCTCTTGTTGCCCGGCTGTAGTGCAATGGCGCGATCTTGGCTCACCGCAACCTCCGCCTCCTGGGTTTAGGCAATTCTCCTGCCTCAGCCTCCTGAGTAGCTGGGATTACAGGCACGCGCCACCATGCCCAGCTAATTTTTTGTATTTTTAGTAGAGACGGGGTTTCACCATGTTGACCGCGATGGTCTCGATCTCTTGACCTCGTGATCCACCCACCTCGGCCTCCCAAAGTGCTGGGATTACAGGCTCAAGCCACCGCGCCCGGCTCTTGTCTGTCTTTATTTCTTTAAGCGCATGCTGTCTTCCAGGTTTTGGGACCCTCTTGCAGGTCAAGAGATCCCCGGCAGACGTGCCTACCCTGCCCGGTTGCCGATAGAGGGTGGGAAGGCAGGTGAAGTTCTGGAAGTGGGGGGGCTGTAAGAAGGGACTGCAGAGAGAAGCAGAGGCTGAATTCTGAAGGGTCTTATGGCCTTCCAGGCATTTAGAGTTTTCTAGGTATGATGGGCACTCTCCCATTAGACTGGAGGCCTTCAGCTATAGACCATAAAGTTCTTCCTCACATTGAACTCACACCAGCTTCCTTGTGCCTGCTCTTCAAGGGGCTGGTTATGCCCTCTGGGCCCACACTGTTCAGGCCTACCCCCTCTTCTCATTGGAATCCTGATAAGGGCCAGGCCAGCCTCCTGGCACCTTTTTGTGTAGTCATTCTGAGACTCTAGGGCCACTGTCTCCTCCCAGGCTCCCTACAGACATCCAGCTTCCGGAGGCTGCAGTTAGGAAAGAGAAGAGGCTGGGTCTCCAGGTGGTGTTAGAAAAGACCTTCTTGGGCCAGGTCTGAGGATTACTTGTGTTTGAATCACTATGGGGTTTTGTTTTGTTTTTAATACGGATTCCTAGGCAACACTTAACCTACTAGGGAGCAAGGGCTGGACCAGGTATCTGCATATTAGAGTGCCTCGGGTGATTCTTCAGCATAGGAAAGTTCAAGTACTAGAGTTACTGCCAATTGTCATTCCTTTCTATTCCAGACTCCAAAATAGCCCACTGCCCGCCCTCTAAATCTTGTCAAGGCTGCCCTGGATAGAGAGTCATCGGGTGAAGAAGAGGAGATGGGACACACAGTCCTCAGTGCAGTTCATTCTTCCCCTCACCTGGCTCTGACCAGCTAGCTAGAGAATCTGAGGATGGTCTCAGGCACAGCCTGGAGCCCTGGTACAGGAGCATCTGCCCTTGGAATTTACTGAGTCTCCTTCTTTGGCTGAAACTCTGGGCCTCCACGATGCTTGTGGAGTGGCATGTTGTGCAGCTTTCCATTGGGGTTTGGGTTCTGCTTGGATTGAATTCTGTGATGCCTTGGAACCCACTGCTGGACTTTCTAAATTGTCATGGAGAGGAATTCCTGGAAATATACAGAGAGTGCACAGGAGGTTGGCTGCTTTTTTGGGAGCCTGTTTTAATGGCCTCAGTGTATTGATGGTTCACATAGCCAATTCCCCACAAAGTGCTGCAGGGCCCCTGCTCTGTGCCAACCCCTTTGCTAGGCTCCGGGGATGTGCATTTCACTGTGGCCTTGACCTGGAGGAGCTGACGATCCCATCACTAATGAGAGAGACCTTCCTGCCTAGAGATTTAGGTGAATAGAGCAATGAATAATGGTGGGGAAGTCCCAGGGGCTTTGGGATGTCAGAGAAAGGGCACTGAATCTGTCCTCTCTCGCTGCTTGTGTATCTCTTGTAGTAAGAGTAGACAATCACGTTTTGAGATAACCCGTGAGTCCATCCCTTATGGTGGGAGTATGACATTCTCTGAAAGGAACAGATGTTCTCAATGTCTGTTCTACTGGAATAAAGAGTGTCTGGGGTCAGGAAATGTGGATTTGTTACTGAGGCCTTGTGTAGAGTTACAGGAAGCATCTCTTTGTACTTCTCTCTCTTGGACCTGAACCCTGAGGGCACTAGTTAGGCCAGGCTGTGCCCAAGCGGCTCCTACCATGGTGAGGCAGAATTCTGGCAGGGCTGGGAGCCAAGGGCCAA